CGAGAGCAGTACTAACGATCGCTAAAACCTATTACCGTACAATTCATATCAATACTACGTGTAATATCTATTTCAATACTTATCAATTTAGAGATTATTTTTTGGGAACTTTATGTTGAGATGTTCGATTAGACAAAGTATTGTGGAGTTTCAGTATATAATATACAAGTTGTTTTTAATAATAGACACTCAATATTGTATCAATTCCTTAATTACCAAATATCCAAATAGTATCTTTTCTTTGCCAATTTATCAGTATAATAACTATATTTTCCTGAATACTACCTAAACTAATACAAATTGAACTAATTGCTTTAAATGCTTAATTTTATAAACTTTTTAAACAGTAATCCTTTTTTACTACTAATAATACTACTAAATTTTTATTCAACAGATTTTTAATTTAATCATAACGATAGTATCATATATCAATATTTATATTTTGGATGTTAATGTGTAGAGTTTTATTACAGACAGTTATCTATACTCCATAGTATTGTCTCGCTGATGGACGCCTGTATGAAGGATGAATTACTGTCTATATTCATTTCAAATATTTGTTTGTAGATCATTTGTCAAAGTTTATTCTAAATCTTGTATTTCTTTCCAATTATCAATATAGACTAGTTACATAATCCTCTTCAAAAAAAAGTTGTATACAATCAAGTTAGAAACTAAACTTACGTAAAGATAAACATTTGAACTTCTATTTATTAAACAATCACTGGTTAATAAACTAATCTAATAACAATTTTCATTATCGTTTATTTTATTAATTTTTACTAACATGTGATATAATTAGCTAATAGTTATAATTAATTTAGAATACGAATATTCGTCAAGATTAGAACGAATAGTTTGATAGAAATTGAGCACCGATTATAGGGAAGAATTATTACCCTGAAGGAGTCCAGATCAGTTAGCTGGACGAAACGTTGGAATTATTATTTAAATTTCAATCTCTGATATTATTTCAAATATAATTTTCACATATAATAACTAATCTAGAATAGTTCAATGAAACCATCCATATCAGCGATGACAATTACTAAAAAAAGAGGTAAAATCTCAATGTAAAATAAGATCATTCTTAAAAGGTTACATTATTATCATGAGAAAAGAACAAGTAAACTGATAGATATTTGTCTTTTATGTTAATGAAAAAAAGTCAGACTAGTAGAGAACATTCATCTCAATCTTAATGTGATGAAATATTCTTAATAGAATTTAAGTTTCTTCTATTTAGGATTTTTTTGGAAGATCTTTGAAGTTGACGTTATTTTCATTATTATTATTATTATTATTATTATTATTATTATTATTATTATTATTATTATTATTATTATTATTATTATTATTATTATTATTAGTGGCTTTACTCAATATCATGATTTCATACGACATAGAATTCTCAGCACAAACTATTTCAACAAGTTTCTGTTTCTTATTTCTTAATCGATCCTGATGATAAATATTAAGTGATCGCCAATTATATGTTAGTAGTTCAGGAAACGCTATCTGAATAGTGTACACTCTTTTCGATGCATATTACTAGAAACCACATCTCTAATTGTGTTCTTTCCTAACTTGTACAGTGAAATGTCGTAAGCATTTCATAAACGAACCTGAATAGGTTATGCAATTAATTGATATAATGATCTGTTGAAACAAACAAAAGTCAGACAAATTGTTGAAATATCTAGATGGGAGGAACAGATAGCACATTTATTTGAACAAGCCGTCTGTATGTTCATGATAAGTGACTTTTTTTTGTTAAAAATGATCAGTGACTTATTGAGACATTTGCACTAACTTAGCGTAGCCTCTTATATCGATGGTTACCCTTTTCTATTTTTACCTAATTGTTTTTATTTCATTTTTATTTTTATTTATTTATTTATATTAAATGTAACTATTATATAAGAATGATTCGATCAAACTGAAGAAAGAGAAATCGGAACATTTGCATGAATTTCAAAAGTGAATAGCTTTTTATTTTAAGTCATATGATTAAGGCTTTTAATATTGATAGTTTTCTTATCTGTCGAGACCATTATTTATGGACGACCTTTGAGTAACGTTAAAATGACCTTGAAAATGTTCAGTTACTAACTAGGACTAACTGATGATTATAAACCACTGTGAAGAATTAGTATTACGATTTACAGTTGATGGTTGGAGTTCGGAATTAGATTTAATGTTTTCATTACAAACTGACATCAGCTATAATACTAAAATAGTATTCAACCAAATGAGTTGATGAACTTCGCGCTGAAATCCAAGATCTCTTATTTTAAATCTGATTGGTTCGTCCATAAATTATAGTCTCGCGTCTCCTTCTTAAATAATTAAAATGACTGTGACTTGAATTTGTTATCGAACTAACCTGTCAAAAAATTATGATATTGAATGAAAAATGAGCTGGTTAAGTATAAATGTCATCATTACCACCCATGAATTTTGTGTTGAAATTCAACTTAACTACATCTGCAAGGAATTCGTTAATAATCATTTTGTAGATTATTGTGAATTTACTTACATTAATTACCAATCAAGTATAGGCCGACGAGCAGCATCCTCTAACTCACTCTGTCCAACTCTGCCGTCATTTCCAGTTCTGTCCAATTTTTGTTCATTTTTCTCATGTCTGTCTCTGTTTCTCGACGTAATGTGTTCTACAGTCTTCTTCTACTCCTCCTTTGGCCTTGAGGATTCCATGTGAGGGCCTGTCTTGTGACACAGTTGGGTGTTTTTCTCAATGTGTGTCCTGTCCATTTCCGGTGCTTCTTCCTGATTTCGTCCTCCGCTGGGATCTGGTTTGTTCTCTCCCATAGTAGGTTGTTGCTGATAATGTCTGACCAACGGATTCGGAATATTTTGTGTAGACAGCTGTTAACAAACACTTGTATCTTCTGGATGATGACATTCGTGGTTCTCTAGGTTTCCAACACATACAGTAGAACTACCGTGACATTTGTGTTGAAAATTCTGACCTTGGTGTTGGTTGACAGACAGTTATTTTGAGTTCCAGATTTTCTTCACTTGTAAATATGCTGTTCTTGCTTTGCCGATCCGCCCCTTCACATCTGCATCAGATCCCCCGTATTCTACTGTGAATTCGCGATAAAAATATTTATATTTACGAGAACTCATGAATAAATCTTTAGCGAGAATCTATTCACACTCTGACAAATAATATCATGTTTCAATCTTTCTAAAATATTAAGTTCGAAAGCTGATAATAGGCTTTCATAAGGGGCTTCATACGAAACAGCTTTAAACGTTTTGTCATCACAATTGGTTTCCCCTTTTTTATAGTTAGACAATGAGTGGTCTCATATCACAGCTCAGGCTGTTATGATATCTAAAAGACTGAATTTTTTCAATCATACAAAATTCTGAAAAAACAAACCATTTGAGCTTATCCTTAAAAAGAATACGTTCATATTCATGATTGAACTCCAGTATGCCAACCGACGAATAGATCAATCATTAGAGAATATTTAAAAGAAATTGATATTCTATAGAAGTTTTCCTTTGCTAAAAGTGTGTTTGTAATCGATATATTTATCACACCTAAACGCAGTAGAAAATCACACGTACCAAACAGCTGACTTGGATTAAATTAACACCATTAGTGATAACCATCACAAAACTTGATTCTTGGTTCGAGGACGTATATAGCCATATGTCTGCATCATTGAAAAACCTCAAACTTAATGAATAATCCCCCTTTTGTTTATTTGATATCCAGTTGTTAAAACATTTTATAGCATGATCTAAATTCGAACTAATTTATCCAATAAAAAATGCTTTTATTAAAACACAATTTGCATAATCAACATTTCTTTTCACTTGAATATTCTTATTTCAGTAGTTGTGATCATGAGTCAATTGAAGCTGGACCATCATGGAAATCATGGAAGAACTGGATGGCCATTTCGTCCTAGTATGGAACTCCTCATTAGTGCGCATCCACGATCTCGCCTCTCGAGATTCGGACCCAGGAAAATCTCCACAAAACCCCTTCCGATACGAATATTCTTATATTAAAGTAAAATAGAATAGTCCCTTTGATAAATTTTGATAATGCAACGAGAAGACGAAGTTTGTCAGAATTATGTGATATACATAGAATTTCGATGGTCATATAAGGTCACACGATAGAAAGACATTATCCTCCATCGCGAAACATTTGATTGAGACTGGTCATAAGGTTGACATCAAATCAGTATTTGTAATGTTACACAAAAACCTTCAAGGACGTATACTAAGGTTTATTGAAGCCTCTGCTATACGGAAACTGAAATCCCCCTTATGCGTTCAAAAACAGTTTGTCCTTACACTTAACCTACCCTGGTAATACTAATTTATTATCCAGAGTGGTAATCACATTGTTTTTTTCTTTGTTACGACTTACCTTTAACCTGTCTAGTTGACCTTTTAATTTTCATATAAAAATGTCTTAACAAGTATATGTGTGATCAAATTGTTCGAAATCTATTGCACAAATATATCGTCACATAATTCTGATAAACTTCGTCTTCTCATTACATTATCGAAAAGAATGAAATAGACAAAAAAACCAACCTCAATCAATAAACAATAAATAATCGAGTGGTTAAGCGCTCGCATGCAAGACTGATAGGTCCCGGATTCGAATCCCTCGAGAGGGATCGTGGATGCGCACTTCTGAGGAGTCCCACAATAGGAAGAAACGGCCGTCCAGTGCTTCCAGATTTTCCATGTTGGTATAGTTTCAAATGACTCAAATGATCTCAACTATTGAAATAATAATAAGCACTTTCAACTTGAGTCATCTAAACAATTAAATTATTATTCCATTGAAAAACAAGGACAAATAAATAACATACTACTATAATAGATACATGTACATACAACATTTCAATTATCAGTAATTGTCTATTTATTACTTTGTTATTATTTCGTTTTTATTGAAAAGTAAAATTGAAAATACAAATAAAGTAATCAGGGAAATAATGATTCATATGTAAATTCAATTTATTTCTTTTTACTTATATTAAATTAATTTTATTCAATTAAATTCTAGAAGTTTCATTATTATTATTATTATCATTATTGCTATTACTACTACTACTACTACTACTACTACTACTACTACTACTACTACTACTACTACTACTACTACTACTACTACTACTACTACTACTACTACTACTACTACTACTACTACTACTACTACTACTACTACTACTACTACTACTACTACTACTACTACTACTACTACTACTACTACTACTACTACTACTACTACTACTACTGTTGCCATCACTGTTTATAGAGGCAGTATTAGTATAATTGTTTTCACTTAGTTGTAATTGTGAAGATAGTATGAAAAATAAGACTATGTGTTGATGCCAAATTGTCTTTTATTATAATTATGTAGTTATTCATTTGCTTTTAACAGAATTATGACTTATTCAATTCAATATGCTTCAGAGTTAGATAGGAAGAGGTATATATATATATGTGTGTATGTACGTATATAAATGGTTAACTTAATATTCTATTAACCAGTGACCTGTTATGAAAATACATAAGAAAGTGTTCATTTCATATCAGATAGAGGGAAATATGATAATTGCTGGTATTTTTCTAGTGAATTTATTGATTATTAGTTTAGAAAATTGTTACAATTCGGTTTTTGAATGAATGAGTAAAGTATAAATAGGATAAAGAAAGCTATTTTGTAATGATTGATTATAGAACATTAAAGTGTAACTTAAGTGCCAAAATATTCTGACATAAAAGTATTGGACAGTTGATTCATTCTAGTATAGGATTCCTCAGCATTGCACATCCATGACCGTGTGCACAAGATTCGAAACTAGAACATTCTGACCTTTACGCCAGCGCTTAACCTTTAGATCACTGAAACGACACCTAACGGTGATAATTAGTAACTAGTTTCGACAGGTAATTCTCAAAGTTCTAGTAAGAAGATGTGAACAGTGGAGTTCAGCCATGCCAGATTTGAGGCAGTTACTTACTAAACACAATGGACGATAGTTGTGCAATCTCATAGACTGATTGAAGATAGACACTGACACTGTCGGATGCAGACTTTGTGGTTTAGAGGTTAGTCAGTGAATGGAATTTTCGAATATTTTGCATTCAACAACGATAAAATAAACTAATTGACTTATTCTTTAGTTCAAGAGAAAATTCTAGTACCACTAACAATTATTACTGACATCAATACACCGTTGGAAGTCAGCTTTTTGATTTAGAAGTTAGATGTTCTCACGTGAGACCGAAGATCTTGTGTTCGATTCCTATGTGTGTGGTTGTAGATGCACAATACTGAGGAGTGTCATACTAGAACGAAACGGAAGTCAAGTGTTTCCAGGTTTTCAATTGTAGCTTAATACTGATCGGTTAATGATTTCAATAATAGTCAAATATCTCTATTTCACTAATAATGGCACCAAATTAGGTTATCACATAAGTGAGACGTATAGTACGGTCATTGGATAGATTCAGAAGCAATTATATTATTACATTTTTTCCTTAGTGAACATTATTTTTAATTTTACAACTCATGTCGCAAATAAACTTATGAAAAACAAATGAATAATGGATAGACATAGTTTTCATGGACAATTTCAAACGATATGTGAGAACTTATTTCTAGAATAAAATGAAACTATCTCGATGAACATTTTCTCACTAGTTCCAAGAAATTCTAATTTAAAACTGATTCAAAAATACTGCTGAAAAGTTCCTAGTTCATTTACATTCTCTATTCAGTAATTATTTCAAACAATATTCTTTCATAAATCAAGACAATAATCTTAATTGGTGACTTATTATTACTTTTGTCTATCCTTTGATTTCATAATTGCTGATTGGCTAATATTTCTCAAGGTTACTTAAGATTCGTTCAAAGGTCGTCCATAAATTAGAGTCTCGCCAATAAGCAAATTCATACTTTTAACTCATTGTGGTACTTTTCCAATGTTACTTACGTGTTTAGTTCAATATGGTGATTATTTAGTGTAATATTGTGGTGTCGGTTACATATATTCACACAATTAGTATATAACGGTGGTCAGACATAGAATGTATTTTAGTAGAAGGTCGATGAGGAAGGAACGGGAACAGAACGTAATTGGTATGAAAATGCATGAACAATGAAATCTGAGACAATGGATCGATATTTGCAGCAGAATTAGTCAAGTTTGAGATGATGGATTGATATTTTGTAAATTAACAATTTACTATATGGTTCTCAGATTTTGGTGAGATGCTCTGTAATTTTGTTCTCAAATACATTCGATTGTTGCTACTCGTATTCTGTTCACTACAATATTTGTTTTATTTTTCAATGTGACATTCTATTCAGTATAACATTGTTTTACTTTAGTATGATGGTTATTCAAGATATGATATTTTTGTATTAAATTAACGCATGCTATATTCACAGTATGACATGCAACGTGCTATTTTGCTATAATTTCATATATGTGACCTTTTACTAATTAATTATCAAATGTGTGTTAAAATCAATATAAAAATGAGTTCATTTCTTCAGTGTCAGTCTTCCGTATTCTTACGTTTACGTCATGTGAATTTCAGTGGATCCTTGTTTTAAGTACAAATAATCAGAGACGCAAATATAATAATTCTATGACAACTGTTTTACCCTGATTATGTATGGATATACTGCGAAGTAGTTGAAGTACTAAATCTAGTATGAATCAGAGGAAATTATAACAAACTGAAATGATGAGTGTATAGTCATTCTTCAACAAGCAAATTCTTTATATACTTAATTACATACACCTGTCACTACTCATCGAGGAGCATAGGCCACCCATTAACATTCTCCCCCGAACTCTGTCCTGGAAAATCCTTTCCAGTTGCTATTCATTCTTTTGATGTCTGTCCCCATTTCCTGACGCAATCTGCTCCTTAGTCTTCCTCTTTTCTTTTTGTCATCAGGATTTCAATTCAGGTCTCGCCTAATGATACAGTTTGATGATTTCCTAAATGTATATCCCACTCCTCCTTTCCTGATTCCTTATTCCTCTAGAAGCTACATTGTTCTCTGACATAGTAAATTGTTGCTGATGGTATCCGGTCAACAGACATTCAGTATGTTGCATAGATGATTGATTATAAATCCTTGTACCTTTTTGGTTGTAGTAGTTCTTTAAGTTTCAGCTTCATACACCAGAACTGTTTTGACGTTTGTATAAAAGATTCTGACTTTGATGTTATCAGACTGTTGTTGTGAGTTTCATCTATAGCTCTTCTGGGGTTACTGCTGGTCCGAAGCCTAGATAAAGAAGAAGGGTTGTGCATGGGGTCAACAACTTTATCCTGTTAAAAATAAATTGGCTAAAAAGATGCTAACGAGAGACACGCAAATTAAATATTGTATAATATGATCTACGATATTTCATGCTTCATCAATTTTCATTACTTTATTCAGCTTTTTATTCATCAACTTACACACACTGATTATTCTTTGAACGGATCAAAACTAGCTATGAATCAATAGTTTGAGAATCTATAGCTCATTGATATCGTACTGAATTAATCACAAATAAACGGTTTATTAATCAATCTAATGAATATTTTATGTAGTTTTAAACAACTTACATTATTGTGTTTAATAATGGATTTGTTGTTTTACAGTTTATAGTACTTACTTACTTACTTACGCCTGTTACTCCTCGTGAAGGAGCATAGGCCGCTCACCAGCATTCTCCATCCAACCCTGTCCTGGGCAATCCTTTCCAGCTCCTTGCAGTTGTTATTCATCTTTTTCATATCTGCTTCTATTATCCGACGTAATATGTTCTTCAGCCTTCCTCTTTTTCGCTTCCCTTCAGGATTCCAAGTTAGGGCTTGTCTTGTGATGCAGTTTGACGATTTGCGTAATGTATGTCCTATCCATTTCCATCGTCTTTTCCTAATTTCTTCTTCAGCTGGAAGTTGGTTTGTTCTCTCCCACAGAAGGCTGTTGCTGATGGTATCCGGCCAATGGATGTTGAGTATCTTGCGTAGACAACCATTTATATAAATACTTGTGCCTTCTTGATTGTGGTTGTCGTAGTTCTCCAAGTTTCAGCTCCATACAGTAGAACTGCCTTGACGTTCGTATTGAAGATTCTCACTTTGATATTGGTTGAAAGTTGTTTTGAGTTCCATATGTTCTTCAATTGTAGGAATGCGACCCTTGCTTTGCCGATCCTCGCCTTTACGTCTGCATCGGATCCTCCTTGTTCATCGATGATGCTTACCAGGTATGTGAAGGATTCTACATCTTCCAGAGTTTCGCCATCAAGAGTGACTGGATTGCTGTTCTCCGTGTTGTAATTGAGGATCTTAGTTTTCCCTTTGTGTATGCTGAGGCCTACTGATGCAGAGACAGTTTATAGTAACTGGTCACAAATTAAGTTATTTTCTAATCGACTTATCTTATTACTACATACAATATTTTTCCTTAAAGGCATGAACTTATTCAGAAATCATAACAATCTGTTACTGTATAACTTTAGATTGTAACAAAAGAGAGTAAGTTTACTGAGGAATGTGAATGGGTTATTTTTACAGTCCAGAGAATTAAAAGTGTTGGAACTAAGTTGTCCGAACAATATTTGATTAACAATTGATGAATGATGAATTTTTGTTTGATATTACATATAAATGATTCATCATTAGTCACAACTCTGTGTTCAGTATCTTAATCTTTTACGAGATTAAATGTTGCCTGAATACCTTTGTAGTTAAATATCAGGCCATGAAGCTGGATGATGATGATGGTTGAAACCCCAAATTAGTAAACGATTTCCTCAAGATTCCAGGTATTTCTCACTGAAGTTAGCTAATTATTACAAAACGTATATTTAAGGCTTTTATCCCAACTATTTTCAACCGCATAATATAAAAGTTTGGACGTTGCGGATTGCACAATTGACATCAAACCTGATTACTCCACTCAATATCTGCTAGCAGTTTATGAATAATATCTCTATTTTTAATACACCTGAGTAACTATAGTGCCATGAAAAACACTAGTTCAACCAACGAAAAAAGTGCTAAGCAATTCTAGGAAATAGTTTTCAAATGATCATTGAGAGATTTAAACATTTGGAACTAGATAAAATATACTTTGCCGAAAGATTAATAAAACTAATAAATTGTCCGCTTGAGGGATCGTGGATGCTCACTGCTCAGGAGTCCCATACTGGGGCGAAACGATCGTCCAGTACTTCCAGGTTTTCAATGGTGGTCTAGCTCAGATCGACTAGTGATTTCAACAGTGAAAATAAAAAATAAAGCGAGCTCGTTTAATATATAA